CACCCCATATAGGATATATATTACTCCACAAGAAAATACTCTGAAGGTGGAAGCGTTCTTGGGCTCACTCTGCACACCACCTCAGTCCCGCCTGCAAAGGCAGCCATGTGTATTTGGGCAACTGGGAACCTGTAAACTTACTCCTAGACTGTAAATATCAGCATATAAGCTACCTGGAGAATATGAAATTAAAAGAAATCCATCAAGGAGCTGGAAATAGTAGAGGTTATTCACCCAGACCAGAGCCCTTTCCACAGCTCAGTACCACCTGGGAAGCCACACACAAACAATTCCCAGAGAATGACAAATTATAGCGTTAACTATGGGAGTTCCCAATCCATGCCACTGTACCCTGCACTGCTCTTTGATTGAACAATTGATAGAAGTCACAGAGTCTCTCTGTTGTGTGAAACTGTGCTAATACGTTTTTCAGTATTGCCTTGGCTCCAGAACCTCAAGACTGATTTGCCTTTACTTGGAATGGTCAGATGTGGTGAACCTTCAGAGAACTTCCTAGAGTAACTTAATAGCCCTACTGCTTGTTATGGCATAGTGGCCCAGGACCTATTAGCCTGCCAACTCTCTGAAGAGAGGTTTCACTACAAAAATGACGTAACGCTAACCTCTCTGTTTTACAGAATTACAAAAAAGCATCTAAACAGGCAGATGCTAGAATGAGGCTAGATCAACCAACACAAAGTACAAGGGCTAGGCACAGCTTTAAAGTCTTGGGAGTATTATGGTCCAAATAAGACTGATATGATACCTGACAATGTAATTGAAATAGTCCTACAGCAGTGATCACTCACGCTGGGGTGGGTGTTAGTGATTTGGGGAGGAAAGGAAGAGATGAAGTCCTGAGTGGGTGTTGTTGACATGGAGACAGCACATCAAGAACCCCAATGCCTCAGACCCATGGCAAAGTCTTCCTGGGTGGTGCTCAGAGAAATGACGAAGCTTTCCTTGGTCTAAGTACCAGTGTTCATTCACCAAAGATTGACCACTGTATGTAAAAACTATCAGCCTGAGCTTTCTTCTCCAGGATGTTTACAGTCTGAGACTGCTCCCCTAGGAATCCTACACTAAGATTAGGTAGGCCTGATTCCTTCAGATGTATACAATGAACCCACCTCAATTCAGATGCATAAAATAAAGTTTTCTAGTTGCTGCTAGTTTTGGCCTGTTCCCATCAGATTCCAGGTTTTCTGTATGTATGTCTGGGATTATCATTTCATTTCCTGTGTGTCCCTGTCCCCCACCACGTTAGGTCAATTTCAGTCATTTCTGCTCTTCATCCGCATTCCTGTAAGTCACCCCAATAAAGCTCATTGGGTCAAAGTCAGACTTGACTGGTACCTTTACTTCCGCCTTCTGTTAGTTCCCTATCTGGGGAGAGGAGACATTTGTTCCCGTCTTCCCAGGTAGTGTCACACACCATAACTGGTACCCTAATGTGGATGTACAAACCAAAGAGGAGTTATAGAGGAGTAATTCTGTTGTCCTAGCCATGGACATCTATATGAAATCAAGAGCCTGAACAGCCTGAGTGTAGAATTATCTGGGGAAGAGAGGTGGATTACAGATATGATAGGAAATAAAGAAATAACAAGATTATATCACACAGTTACAATGACAAAGACAGCCTGGTCCTGGGACAACCCATCAAACAGAATTAAGACCTGGAAAAAGACCAACAAAGTTACAGCCACTTAACTTATAACAAAAGTGCCTAAAACAACTAATTCAAAAAGCTTATTCCCCAGGCGGTGCTGGTGCACCCCTTCAATCCCAGCACTCAGGAGGCAGAGCCAGGCTGATCTCTGAGTTCGAGGATAGCCTGGTCTGCAGAGTGAGATCCAAGACAGGCACCAAAACTACACAGAGAAACCCTGTCTCAAAAAAACAAAACAAAAAGGCTTATTCAACAAATGGTGCTACCTTATCTTTCATCCTATACAAAATCAAGCAGGGCTAGGCAAAGTGGTGCATGCCTTTATTCCCAGCACTTAGAAGACAAAGGCAGGTGTGTGCCTGTGAGATGAGGGCCAACCAGGTCTATAATCAATTCTAGATAAGACTACATAGTGAAAAACCCCCATCTCCAAAAATGGTTGAGAAATCAACTCAAAGTAGACCAAAGACCTTAATTTAAAACCTGAAGTTGCTCCAGGAAAACACAGGGAATGCACTTTAAGATGTTAGTGTATACAAGAACTGTCTGAACATAATTCCAACAGCACAGAAACCAGCTTGGAGAAAATTGCAGGGGCTACATGAAATTCAAGTTTCTTTGCAGCAAAAAACACAGAATGCAAAAAAATCTTTACCACCTATACTCAGACAGAAGGCTAATATCTAAGATTTACAAAGAACGGAAAAAAAATAAATACCGAAAGAAGCAAAATTTCCAATCAACAAATGGGCTAATGAAATGGGCTAAGGCAGAAACACATGGACTGCAAGTATCTAAAAAACAAAAAACGGGGCTGGAGAGATGGCTCAGAGGTTAAGAGCACTGACTGTTCTTCCAGAGGCCCTGAGTTCAATTCCCAGCAACCACATGGTGGCTCACAACCATCTGTAACGAGATCTGGTGCCCTCTTCTGGCCTGCAGTCATATATGCTGTATACATAATAAATAAAGCTTAAAAAAACAAAAAAAAAAAAACAAAAAACGTTCTGGAGGGCAGTGGTGGTGTACACCTTTAACCCAGTACTCAGAGCCAGGTTGATCTCTGTGAGTTCGAGCCCAGCCTGTTCTAAAGAGTGAGTTCCAGGACAGCCCAGTGCTACCCAGAGAAACACTGTCTCAAAAAAAAAAAAAAAAAAAAAAACTACAAAGACAAAGAAAAAAAGGCAAAAAAAACTGTTGGACTATCTCTAGCCATCAGGAAAATGTAAATTGAAACTACCTCAGTCAAAATGGCTATCAGGAAATCTGACAAATGCTGGACAGGGTGTGAGGGAAGAGAAATGCTATTCACTGCTGATGTGAGTGCAAATAAGTTTAGCCATTATGGAAATCATGGAGGGGTTTCAAAAAATTAAACCTAGATCTACCAGTTGACCCAGCTATACCATTCCTGTACCCAAAAGGCTCCATTTACTAGCAGAAAGACAACTGCACATCCATGTTTCCTGCTGCTATATTCATAGGAGCAAGGACATGCAGCCAGTCTAGATCTACCAAGAAACAAAACAAAAATGTGACACACACACACACACATCATTTAGTTGTGAAGAAAAATGAAACTTGCAAGAAAAATGAGCCTATCCAAAGACTCCTGTTTCCTCATATAGAGATCCCAGTCTATAATGTGTAACAAAAGCAAACAGGTATGAAGTCTTAAAATCTAGGAAGGAAATCAAGAGAGGAGTAACTTGTGATAAGGACAGACAGACGGGACAAAAGGATAAACAGGACACAGAAAAGGAAAGGAGTCTGGCAATGGACAGATTCTGGGGTACTGGTGTACCTTCACACCTCACCCTCTTTCAGTTGCTCAGCCCTGCGTAATTTGATGGGGAAGCATGAAATCAGAACACAAGGGAGCTTGAGGTTTTAGATAGGGTCTTAATGTGCAGCCCAGGCCAAGGCCAGCCTTAAATTCTCAATTCTCCTGCCTCAGCCTGAGTGCTAGAACTACAAGAACGTGCCACCAAATGCTTTAAATGGTTTTGTAAAACATCGAGTTTATTCATTTTTTGACAATTTCATACATGTAAACAATTTGTCTTGATCAACTGTACTCCAGCACCCTTTCCATCTCCCCCAACATGACCCTCTTCCCTCAGAAGTTTTGAGTAGACTTAAGATTCTTGTGGGACAGCTTAAGCAACTGTGTGCCTACTGTCCTGAGGCCCACCCCACCTGAACAGACAGTTTCAATGGGTTTCATATCCCTGTCATAGAGAGGGGTATAAGCCAACATCCACAACACTGGAGCAACTGCTTGACAAAGAGGGAAACCCTGAAGCAGGTGGAATGCGGCAGTCTGTCCGCTTCACTTCCGGTAAACCCGGCATGTCGGAAAAGGGTTGTTGGAAAGGTTTGTTCCAAGTCTCTGATAAGGTGCCACAAAATCACACCACAGAAATGGCACAAATACTTAAATGGCAGTTGATGTTTCAATAAAGACACATGTGCATTAATGGTGCTTCCAGCAACCATAAAGTTGTTAAATAAAAACGCCAATGTGAGGGTGGTCTACCTTCCCAGGAGTTGTTGGCCAGAAAGACAGGCCCGAGAGGTCCCCACATTATACCGACTATTGTCACTATCCCCCACTGCTGAAGACACCACATGCTCAGACTTTGGGAGACTGGAACACACACCTGGGCTTAAACCAGGATACATTGCCCCATCCACAGTCGTTAGCCGCCAGTGTCAGAGGCACTATGCAGGCCACAAGGCAGAGCCTATTCCTATAGCCTGGCTTTGCTAGGGACTGCAATTTGCTCCATTATCTGCTTGTTACACAGGTAACAGCAAATTCAGTGTTGGTGCAATCAGCACAGGTAGTCAACATTCTCCCAGTTGTCTGTCCAGCCCACTCCATGTTAGAACTCTCTGTCAGGTCAGAAACTCCGGGGATCAAATAAATCACACATTCAAACAATGGCAAGCCTACCACCACTTTGCTAAACACGTATGCACCCCATCAACTACTGTGGTGGTTTAAATGAGAAGGGTCCTTACATGAATGTTGGGTCCTAGTTGGTGGAACTATTTAGGAAGGATTAGCAGGTGTGGTCTTGTTGGGAAAAGGGGTGTCAGTAGGGGTGGGCTTTGAGGTTTCAAAAGTCCAGCCAGGCCCAGTCTCACTCTCTGCCTCCTGTATATAGAGTAGACATAAGCTGCTACTACAGAGCTCTGCCTGCTTACCTGTATGCCTGCCCAGAGGCCTGCCCACACTCCCCGCCATGATGATCAGACTCACCCTCTGACACTGTAAGGAAACACACAGCTAAATTCTCTATTTTACAGGTTGTTGTGGTCATGGTGTCTCTTCATAAAAATAGGAAAGTAAACTAAAACAATTATTCTCTGAAATATTTATGTGTATTGGAGTCATACTGCGACTGCCTCTTCTTGCATTGGGCGGCAACCACTGTAGCCCATGACGGTGATAATCTGACTATTGCACACATGGTGAACTCTCTCTCTAGTCAGGTAGTTATGCCATGAAACATTTTGCTCCCCTCCATCAGTCAAAGTGAAGAAATTTCACAGATCTCCACACTATCAACAGAGCCCCTCCCATATGAATAAAAGCCGAACATGACAATCCTGCTCTAAACGTGAGCTTCTGGTAGAATGGGAACCCATAACCTGGCCTAACGTGCTACCTTCTGGGCATTATGAAATTGGACCTAACCCCGACATGGGCATTTATGATTATGACCCATTGTGCCTAGAAAGACCGAATGAGAGAGACACTACTATTAGTAGGTACATGGATAGAGCTGTGCAAGGGTACTGCAGGTAACGCAAACCACACTTACAGGGCTATCTACTCCTGTACAAGGGGATACATCTCGAGCCGTTCATCCAAGTCCCCCTCTGAGCTGTCAGCCAACTCCTATCTATAACCTAGCTGTTATCCCAGAGCAGCCACTAACCACCCATCGAGTGTTCGTTATGCAAACCCAAGAACACCCGAGAACCTTCCCTGACCATCTCATCTTCATTCACGATGTAGGCTGTACCTCAGATGTTCCCATTTGCCACCTTTCCTCTTTGAGCTATGACCTGAGTATGCTCAGGAGGGAATGCATCAGTCTCCAACATGCCTTCCCTTTATGATTACATATAGGCTTCCCAAATGAAGTGCCCACTGTTTCTTTGTTGGGGAGCATGTCCAGTGTGAGAACGATATATAACCTTTGTTCTCCTGTACATGGTAATAAAAATGCTTTCCTCTTTTATGCCTCAGCTGTGGTCTTACAGCTTGGCACTCACCAAGATGTGAAGCCGCTGTCTTTGTCACAGGAATACCCACTTTCTGTATTTAGTCATTAGGCAGGAGCCCTATTATCAGCAATCTAAGCAAAGCCCTGGTTAAGTTTATTTTCAAGTTCCGAACCATACCTACACAGATGTTTCTTAAACCAAGAAACCTGGATATTGGAAAAACAGGCTACAGACTGGCTCTGGGTATTATACACAGCTGTGCTAGGGATCTGTGTGTGGACACTGGATACCAGAAACCCAGTTAAGATGTGATACTTGCACAGACGTGCAAGATGTTTTTGACCACTGGCTTAGGTCACTACCATAGGGGTATGTGCCCTTCTGACTGCCTGTATTACTTAAGGAGTATGCATCCATGGCTCCAGTCTTTCCTCTTGTTTTGGCACAGAAGCCCAATGGCTCAGTTCTCGGGGGGGGGGGGGGGGGGGGGGGGGGGGGACGGACGGACGAGCATAATATCTCTAAGGCTCAGGACTATGGAAGAAGGTGCAGACAGAGCTGGAAGGTGGGAAACTGGGTCCAGGCCTCATAACCTGTCTTTAGAGACCCTGGCTCAGAGGCAAGGATGTAAGCATCAACACATCGAATGTCAAACCACCACGAAGTGAGAGAGCTGTTACCATGTCCTCCAGGTAATGGGCATGCTCCCATACTCAAGTAGCCTCCTGGAGGGATGGTTCATTCTCCCACCTCTGGCACTTGCTAGCTCTGACAAAACCCAATCGAGACTGGTGAGTCAGAACAGCTACCCACGTCACCCACCACTCTGTAAGCTAATTAACTGGAGAACTGGAGTCATTCTTTCAGCTGTCGGTACCATCACAATTTGAAGACAATGCTTACATGAATTCATATACATATAGCAGCACACAGTGATATAGCACACAGAGATTTGTAAACACTAAACCTCTTTACAGCAAGAGCTCAATATGCCTTTACAGGATCTGAATGCTGTCCATTTACAAATCTTTAAAAGGCAATTTTGGTTTCTTTTAATAAAATCTAGCCACCATCATACCTTAAATGGCAGGGGCCATTATCCTGGGCTGCTCTCTAGTACCCAGTTCTTATATAACAAACCCCAACCTCCCTTGGTACAGAAACAAACCAAAACCCAAACCCTCAATTTGGAAGCAGGAATGTTCTAAGTAGTAGCCGGATTTTAGTGTAGATGGGCTTCACTGAGTCACAGGCCACACTGTTCAGATCATGTCAACTTAGGCAAATGCCTCATGTAACCAACCCATCAAAAGTTATTTCTTCCCTATTTCCCTTCTCGGTACCCAAGGGCGCTGCCCTCTGTCATCAAGATCGAAACACTTCCTATTTTGAACACACCCAGACTTGCAAATTTTTCTTTTTGACACTGAAAGAGCATCAGAGGGACCCTGGACCCATCACCCCAGAAACCACCTTCCCCCAGTCGCAGGTAGGGAGGACCTGCCTCTCTTTTCACTGGCCTATCTCACTGCTTCTTTTTTTTACTTGCCGGACTGTCTAAAACTTCAATCTTGCCTCTGCCACCTTCTGCATTCGGAAGCTTTATGGTGTCTATGGTGACTTCGGAGGGGATGCAGTCTTCATCTTCGGACTCTGAGCTGTCCTCAGAGCCGTCCTGTGAGCTCTCTTCTGAGCTGTCCTCTTCTTTTGAATCTGACCGGTTCATCTCAAATAAGGCCACATCCTGTAAGAAGTGTCAGGTTGAGAAATCTACTTCAGGGCAGTTCTGTAACATGTTCTAGTAAAGCAACAGCTAGTGCCAGGCGGCAGTGGTGTACGCCTTAATGCCAGCACTTAGGAGGCAGAGGCAGGCAGATCTCTGTGAGTTCAAGGCCAGCCTGGTCTACAGAGCAAGGTCCAGGCCAGGCACCAAAACTGCAGAGAAAACCCTGTCTCAAGAAACCAAAAAAGACAAAGCAGTACAGGTGGCTCCAGGGAAGGCTCGGCGGGTCGAGGTGCTTGTCCAGAGGACCCCAGTTCAGTTCCCAGCACCCATGACCAACCAAGTGGCTCCTAACACCTCAACTCCAGCTTCAGGAAATCTAACGTTCTTCTGGTCCTGCTGGCCCCCATGGGCACCCACATAGGTGCCAGACACACTGACGTGCACACAGAAAATAATTCTTAAATAAAAGCAGCAGAGGAAGCTATCAATATCCATTATAAATTCTGGAGCACAGATCGGGCTGTGTGCTTAATACAAATGGCACGTCCACGTTCTCAGGTGCCAGAATACATCGTAAGAGCAGTTTGAAAGATTGATTTTACTCATGCCTTTAAAAATGCTTTTTCTGGGCATGAGAGATGACTCAGCAGTTAAGTTCACTGACTGCTCTTTCAGAGGACCTGGGTTCAATTCCTAGCAACCACACAGTGGCTCACATCTGTCTGTAGCTCCAGAGGATATGACACCCTCATATAGACATACATGCAGGTGAAAGACAACGCACAAGAACTTAAAAAACAAAAGGGGGCTCCTCTTGCCTAGTACACATCCAACAGCATTCTCTCAAAAAAGGACTACAGCAGTGGTTCTCAACCTTCCTAATGCTGCGACCCGTTAACACAGTTCTTCATGCTGTAGTGACCCCCAGCCAGGAAACTATTTTCACTGATATTGAAGCAGATGTAATTTTGCTGTTGCGATCATAATGTAGTATCTGTGTTTTCCAATAGGCAGGTTGAGACCCACTGGCCTGGAGTCAGGCACTACACTGGACACTTCAGACTTAGGTGACACATCTACAATCCCACCCTGTAACCCAGCACTGGGGATAGTCAGGACTGACAACGAGGCCAACCTGGGCCACAGGTAAGGGCTGCCCCCAACCCACTTCCTCAAAAACACTCCACAACTCTTGCCTTAATGGGATTTACATTTCTGAGCAAGGGCCAGCAAGTTATAACCAGCAGGCTGAACCCTGCCTGCTACCTAACTTTGTGCAGCCCTTCAACTAAGAATGGCTTCTGTCCTTTCAAAGTGACAAAAAGAGAGAAAGGCATTGGATAAAAAATGAAATTATAGCGTGCCACAAGCTTCTGCACCGCAGACGGAGCCTCAGGCACAACTTCCCACCATGAAAAACATGGTCCCCTTGAACTGTGAGCCAACTATATAGCCCTTCCCTTAAAAAAGGATCAGTGGCCGTCACTGTACAAAGCCCTGCCTCTTTGTTAATGTCAACAGCTGTGCTCAGCACTGAAGAGCAAGGAAGACAGGGTAACACGACTGTGCAACTCCCAAGTCCATTCCACCATCTTGCCTGTGTGAAGGTGTTCACAAATTTTAAAATAACATTTCATTTTAGAACAAAATTTCAAAGTATCCCTCTTTCCCGTTCTGGTGACAAGCACACTAACTCCACCCCATGAAACAGAAATAGGGCACAGTTACCATCTGTATGATGTTTCCGGATGTCCCATCAATCTTCTCGATATTGAAGCAATCAGCTGGAGCGGCCGCCATTTCCTCTCGTAGCTTTTCATTTGCCTGGGCCATCTGTGGGAGGAAGGCCTGCACCTGGTCTAACACTGTGGACAGCAAACACAGCATGCAGACGTGTTAGTAAGTCCCAGACTCCGCAACTCCTGGTCTAACACTTCACTGCAGAGCAACAATAAATCAATCCACTTTTTTTAATAATTTATTTTTATTTTATTTGCACTGGTGTTCTGCCTCCAGAGGCAAATCTGTCTATGTGAGGGTGTCAGATCTTGGAGTTATAGACAGCTGTGAGCTGCCATGTGGGTGCTGGGAATTGAACCCCGGTCCTCTGGAAGAGCAGTCAGTGTTCTTAACCACTGAGCCATCTCTCCAGCCCAATCCATCAACTCTTAACATCCGTTTGCTTCTCAGCTGCCTTGGGTCGGAGGGTGGGTGGGGGTAGGGGAGATCACTGAGGATTGAACCAGGGCCTTACTTTTGCTAGGCCAAGGGCTCTGCCAATCAGTTATACTCTCAGTCTCTATTTGAAACTCCCAAAGCAACAAGATCACACAATTCAGTAATTATTACTCAAATGTTTTGTGTTTCTCTTCTGTCCCAAAAGTATAAAATTCTACAAGGCTGGCATTCAACAAGGTGGCTGGAAAAAAAAAGGCAGAATGACCTAATGGTCTTCACAGTAAGGCTGTCAGGGTTATTAATAGGGTCCCACTTCTACTTTTTACTATTTCAGTTACCTGGAACGTGTGTCACCTGCCCAACATCTACCCACTTTCACCTGGAAGTGTCAACACCAGCCATCTTCTTTTTGGAAACAGGCTTGCTATGTAGCCCAGGCTAATTCACAACTGGCTTCCAACTTCCCATCATCCTGCACAGACCATGCCGTGCCCTGCCCTTCCTTCCTTTTGAGCTTGGGTCATTACTGTCTCTCTCATCCTGAACAAGCCTATGTAGTCTATGGTCGTCTTGCCCACCAGAATCTGTCTGCCCTGTGGCATAAGCTAACAGAGTGTTCTAACCAAGCCAGGAAGTGGTCAACTTGGGAGCGAAAGAGAAAAAAACCAAGTAAGTGATGAATGTGGGTCTGGAACTTCTCATAAGGCAGCCAACTCTCCACAGCTGTGGAATAGCCATCTTTAGATCAATCCAACACCAAGAAAGCAGAGCTGAGAGACAGGCCGCAGGTGAGGACAGAAGGCATCTGGATCCAGATGAACTTGCAGTTTCTGACTGGGTTCTGTCATCCCAAAAATGAGCCAAGTTTTCCTGGTTTTCTCTTTAGGCAATCTGAGCTTTCACTCAATTTGCAATTCAGAATTCTATTTAATGCATCCAATTTCACCACCATCCTGGCTAGTTTAGTCAACTCCACACCAGCTCGTCATCTGAGAGGAGGGACCCTCAAGTGAGAAAAGGCCTCTGCAAGACCCGGCTGCAGGACATTTTCTCAGTGAGCAATCAATCAGTGGGGGGTTGGGGGGGAGCAGCCCATTGTGGATGGTGCCATCCTGGGTTCTGTAAGAAAACAGGATGAGCAAACCAGTAAACAACACCCCTCCATGGCCTCTCCATCAACTCCTGCCTCCAGGTTCCTGCCCTGAAATCCTTCAGCAATGAACAGTAATACATAAGTGTAAGCCAAATAAACCTTTCCTCCCCAAGTTTCGTTAGTCATGGTGTTCTAACACAGCAACAGAAACCCTAACTAGGACAGAAACTGGTACCACAATAGTGGGGTATTGCTGTGACAGACCTGACCATGCGTTTTTAGGATTGTGGAAAAACTTGAGAACTCTGGGCTGTTAAAACCATTAAGTATTCAAAGTTTAGTGACCTGTTCTGTGGGAGTCTGGAAGATAAGAATGCTGAGAGAGCAATGCAAATGTGGAGGACTGGCTTGAAAAGTTTCAGAGGTCAATTTCAAAGTCCTTTAATGACTCTGTCTCTGCCCCCAACACCATAGGGGTTACAGGTTCATGTGGCCACACAGCATTGTAAGTGGGTTCTAAGGATTTGAATTCTGTTCCTCGTGTTTTCTTAACAAGCACTCTTACCTGAGCAATCTCCTAGAGTAAATAACTGCTAGGTGTGGTGGCACACACCAGTGTAGGCAGAGATAGGAGCATCTGTGTGTTAGAGGCTAGCATGATCTATATAGAATGTTCTAGACCAGCCAGGGATAAACACGGGGAGACTGTCCAGGAGCAGAGAAAAAAAGAGTAACTAAAGCTAGACGTGGCAGCAGTAACTGTAATCCTAGAATTGGGAGAGGTGGGAAAATCTGGAGTCAGAATCACTCTTAGCTACACAATGAAGTTTGAGACCAACCTAGACTATGTGAGACCCTGCCTCTAAAACAAACAGATAAATACATAAATAGCTAGGCCTTTTAGTGAAGCACATACATCACAGCTACTTGGTAGACGGCAAGATCTCAACTTCATGGCCTGCCTGGACTACAGAGGGAGTTTGGGGCCAGCCTAAGCAACTTAAGAGAAACCCTGTCTCAAAACAGAAAAATTCTCCTGGACAGTGGCAGCACACACCTTTAATCCCAACATTTGAGAGACAGAGGCAGACAGACCTCTTTGAGTTTGAGACCAGCCTGGTCTACAGAAGTTCCAGATCAGCCAAAGCTACAGAGAAACTTAGTCCTGAAAAACAAAAGAAATACAGAAAGGGCTGGGAATACAGCTCAGCACCAGAGTGCGTGCACAGCCTGCCGAAAGTTCTAAGTCCAAGTTGTACCACCACCACCAAAAAACAAGGCACATTACTGCGTCGAGCACTGGGAAGGCGGAGACAAAAAGAGCTTAACTGGACTTCTGAAAATAAAGGGGAAGGGCCCATTACACAGACACTGATGACTTTATGAAAGCTATTTCGACAGTCTCAATGAGGAGCACATTTATAAGCGTGCAATTCAGCAATATTATAGTGTGATTAATGAAGAGGCTGGCTCTGTTAGTTTGTATTATTAACAAGATTCACCATGTAAAGCTGTGAGGGGTACAACTGATGCTTGCAATCCCACAACTCAAGAGGCTGAGGCAGCTGGGTCACAGTGAGTTCAAGGCCAGCCTGAGCTACATAATGAGTTCTAGTTTAGCCTGGTAAGTGAACTGAAGCCTTTAGAAGACATGAACTAACATGTGTTCACCCTAGACAGGGCTCTACCGACAGACTAAAGCAAAGATTTCCCCCGAAGAGCAACGTAGTGAGCCAGTGAGTTTATTGGGCTTGCTCAGAACAACAACAGTGACAACTGGTAAAAGTTGCCTCCCTGCAGCTCTCTGCAGGAGTCACAAGCAGCTAGGCTTCACTAACTATTACTGCGGATGTAATCCATAGGGAAGGGGTCTTGGGATTCCTGCAAATTTACTTCCAGAAGCTTGTTTACTATCTATATGCTTTTTCTTTTGTTTTGTTTTTTCAAGACAGGGTTTCTTTGAGTAGCACTGGTTGGCTTGGACTCGATGTGTAGTCCAGGCTGCCCTCAAACTCAAGAGATCTGCCTGCCTCGCCTCTACCTCCCAAGTGCTGAGATTAAAGGCGTGCACCACCACCGCCCAGCTTCCTCTGTTATCTTAAAAGTCTCCTTACACTATTTAAGGAAATGCTTTAATTTAGGAGGGAATGCTTCAATTCTGAGGACACTTCTCTGCTACACAGACTGTCACAAAACAGTTGACCAATAGTGGTGTTCTCCGTAACCAGATTTAATATTCCAAAACGTGAACAGTAAGTCCTTTCTTCAACAAGTGAAGTCTTGATAACTGCCCAAGCTGATCTCCAACATGTTGCAGTTCTCCGGCCTCAGCCTTCCAACGGCAGATGTGTGACATCTCACTAAGCCAGACACTTTTTCAGTTAAAAAAAAAAAATGTATTCTGAATAAAGTGCAGGCAGGGGATCAAGATGAAAAATTCTATTCCTTAGACAATGACTTACACAATATTAGACTTGCTGTATTTGACTCTACGGTTTGATATGAGCCATGAAGACAGACTATTCCATCAAATAAAGGACTAATTAACCGAAATTGGGGGAGCGCCCTCTAGAGTGGAAAGGCAGTACTTACAAGGGCTCCTCTGAATCCTAACTGTTTGAAGAGCAGAAGTCTTCTTGGAATGAGGCTTAGAGCTGATGAGCAATTGGTCCCAGATACCTGAAAATACAATTTACATCATAAATACACTGCAACTCAGTGCTGGGATGACCCTCAGCCCTGCAGAACAGTGAGAGGGGACATCAGCAACAGCTCCTGTGACTGTCTTCAGTCAGGACCACAGTAAAATGTCTCAGCAGCTGCTCTCGCAAACATCAGGGTTTGATTCCCAGCACCCACACATGGTGGCTCATATTGGTCTGTAACTCCAGTTCCAAAGGATCAGACACCGTGGGAATTCTGCGGGCACCAGGCATTAAATAAATAAAAAGTTTAAATAATGAAGTTAATAGAACGTGGACCTGCAATGATAATCTTCACAGAATTTAGTTAAAGTTAGAAATGGCAGGAGGTGATGGCACATGCCTTTAATAGGCAGAGGCAGGCGATTTCTGAGTTCAAAGCCTGGTTTACAGAACAAGTTCCAGGACAGCCAGGACTACATGGAGAAATCCTGTCTCCAAAAAAGTAAGAAAGAAATCAGAAACTGGGCCAACAAAGAGGGCTCAATGGACACAGGGGCTTGCCTCCCAAACCTGAAGACCTTAGTTCCACCCACTACCCACATGAAAGGAGAGAACAGCCTCCCCTCTACATACCTGTGATCATAAAATAGAACCAAAAAGTTACAAGCTATGCAGAACTGGGCAAACTGAACCACACTGAGCACGTTTCTTCTTTTACAGAACATACCTGTCTGCGAGAAAGCGTCAATCTAAACAAAAACACCCTTGGAGCATTTTGTGCAAGCTCGCACCTGTCCAGCTTACCCACTCCAAACAAACCAACTGCCCAGCCCATGAGAGCTTTGGGACAGTACACTGACCACTCAAGCCTTTGCTCACTCTTCTTTTCACACACAGAAAATCTCTTTACTTTCTAAATCAAAAAGCCTGTCACTCCCAATGTAGAGATGACTCAAGAGCCTCCGAATTCTCCTGAAAGCCTAGTGGTTTGATTAGTGTCAAGTTCAGAGGAAAGCCAGAGCTTGGAGCCAATATCCAGCTTTGCTGCTTTCCTGCCAGTGCCTATAGTTATCTGTGTAACACCATGCCAGTTTCATCATAGAAACGGGGTCATCAGGATACCTCCGCAGGCGTCGGGGATGCGGTGACACTTGAGTTTATTAATTTCTGACACTGCCACTACAAAAGCTTTGGCAATCGGTACTGTAACTCCTTCAGATACACTGGATTCTTAAATCATTTCCACGATACTTAATAAGCAGGCACAAGAACTTTAATGCATTCTATTCATTCAAATTCTATGGGCAGTCTCACCTGTTTGAATCAAAATGTGGAAACAGAGGCCTATAGAAAGCAACTTTCACAAAAGCCCCACTTAGTAAGGATTTCAACCTACAATTTTCTTTTTATTTTCGAGACAGGGTGTCACTGTATTATAACTGGCTGTCCTGGCCTCGAACTCAAAAAGAAATCCGCCTGCCTCTTTCTCCCATGCTTTTCTCCTCTTCTGTACCACACTATCTGAAATGCTGAGTGGATTTCCCGCACACAAGTCTCCCTCCACCAAGGTGACACTAAGGTAGTGAGTGCCTAATGCAAAAATTATTAAAAATGGTATTCATCTGTTACCCACCATTCCGGGCAGGTCAGTCCTGGTCCTCCCTGTAGAGTTCCCTAAGAACTGCCCGGCCTCGGGCAGGCATAGTCATATCCTGGACCCCCGCGTCCGAGCTTCGCAGCATTCCCCACAACCACCGAAGTGCTCGACCCTGCAGCATCCCCAGTCTCCCGCAGCTTCCCGGGCTCTTCAGCATCCCGCCCCGCCCCACCCTC